GGGAAAAAAAACCCTAAACCCTAAAACCCTAAACCCTAAACTCTAAACCTCAAACCCTAAAACCCTAAACCCTAAAGGGTTCAACCATGGCTTAGTTTTCGGCGGGCTCCGAGGTTGCTTACAGGCAGAGTTGAGCACGGAAGTTGTGAGGATCTTGGAATTTAGGGCATAGGTTCGGGGCACCTCAAACTACCAAGGCCTACTAAGTCTATATTGGGGTTCGTGTAAGAACCTACAAAAGAGTAGGTTATGTTAGTTTAAGGTAAACCCTAAACCCTAAACCGGTATTTGTACTTGTCAAGCCGGCCTACTTTTTGGGGGTTCTGAACTTCGAAGACTTTTCGCAAACCCTAAACCCTAAACCCTAAACCCAAGAGGGACATCGCTTCGTGGAGCTCTCGAGCGAACGATGGTTCTTTTGTCTTGGTCCGAGTTCCCTTTTGTGTCAGCACAGAGACTTGCAGGATGCTACTCGCGTTCTAATATAGGGGCCTTAAGAATTACCTATATACTATTTTGGGGGTTCGTTATTATAGTTATAGTATAATGGGCCCAAAGCCCTAGCCTAATTATTAAGTCCCCTATATTAGGTTGGAGAGCTCGTTACTTGTACTCGGGAATCGCGGACTTTACGTGGCTCTCAAACACATCGGCTTGATCCTTCATGTCTAACACTTGTTTCTAGGACATTTCAGATGGGTAGTTACCGTTATAGGAGCCTTATAGAAGGTGTATTTACCTTATGGAATCCTTATAGAAGCCCTATATTACCCTAAACTCCCAGCTGTAGTGTCCTTTAATTGTTCTGCCCAACGCCTGTCTCAGAAGTCTTCAAGGAATTCCCGCAAAAGCCGATAAACCTAAGCGGTGTACTTCTGAGATTATGAGGAGTTGTCGAGCTTCTCAGCTCGAGCCATCAAGGATGCGACGCAGATGGCACCCTGCCTTTATAGAGATGAAGGTGTCCAGCTCATGTTTAATCCTACGAGTTTCAGGTTCGGGCTTTGGACTTTGTAGGAGCTTACCATGTGGCGCTCAGTTTCTTTCGAGCCTGCTCGAACCATCAGAATGGTGCTTTGGTTGTGGTTTAGGTGGCTTTCGGACTGGAGGTTCATGCTTTGGAATTTCAAGACATGAGCTTCTATCGAACGGCACGAGAAGAGATATGAACGGCACAGCTAGCCACAATGAACCCCCTGTTCAATGACAGGTGTGAGGGTTCTATAGGCAGATCATCAGAGTTTCCTGGGTTCATGCTCAGGGTTCGTGTGGCGATTCACGCGCTCACAGGGTAGCAGGGCTAGCAGGACTTCCGCTGGCATGTGTTGCGCATTGATTGCGAGGTCAATCAGATTGAAGTGTCGATCGCGCCCTACACCAGCCTCTCCAAAGCAAGTTTGGACCGTCGGGTGTGTGATGCAGGGAGCGACAGAGCAACAGAAAGAGAGAGGGAGAGAGCGCGAGAGAGAGAGAGAGACAGAGAGCGCAGGTGTGCACAAAGACAGAGACAGCAGTACAGTATATCAGCATATCTGTTCGTACAGAACTAGACAGACAGACAGTTTTCAATATGGCTGATCCACAACATGTGCCCGTGCAAAATCACTAGTATGAGCACTGCATCCACAGTATATGCGGAACATGGTCAACCAGGACTGCACTCGTAGATTTAGTCTGATGGTGGAGCGCAATGCTGGCAACCAGCAGGTCGCATAAGATATTGCCATCTCGTATCGCATATATTGTATAAGTTATAACTTTACATATATGTGTATACACATACATATGTTTTCGATAGGTACACGAACATACATGCATACATACATACATACCTACGTACGTACATGCATATAGATATACTTGTATTTATACAATTTTATACATGTACATGTACATAAACATGTACCTATACGTATACATATACATACACATATACAAGTCACATACATACACATACCTACATAAACAAACAAACAAACGAACCAACAGACAAACAAACATACATACATACGATATATATATATATATGCATACATACATACATGCAGACACATGCATACATACTGTATATATATATATGTATAAATATATATATATATAGATGTACAGACATACAGACATACGTGCCATATATATATATATACATACATACATACATGCATACATACATACATACATACATACATACATACGTGCGTACATACATACATACATACATACATACATACATACATACATACACACTATGTATCTATATATATATATATACAGACATATGTATATATATATATATATATAGGTACAAATAGACAGAGATATCAGGTTCATGGCCGAGACAGGCTGGGTTCCTCAGGTTTTGGGGCTTCGGGGCCATTTACATGCGAGTTAACGATATTGGCCCGGGCTGGCGTGTTCTTCGCCTTGCCATGCCCAAGGGGTGCCAGGAGGATTATACAACATCTTCTCCCCATCAACAAGCTAGCAAGAGCTTGTTCTGAGCCGCCGCTGGAATGAAGGACATGTGAACCCCCAAAGCTACGGCCTCACTCTCTCTCTCTCTCTCTCTCTGGCATTGCTTTGTTCTGAAGGCCTGCTGCGGCCCTGGAAAGAGTGGCCTGGCAAAGTAGAATAAGGGAGCGTCAGAGTCCTGAGACCGCTTAAGACATTGAAATGTTCTGTCACTTTGTTGCAGGGCCTGGGCTACGTATCAGGGCTATTGCACCAAAAGTTTCAGGCTTCTGCAGTCATTCAGGCGATCATTCAACATTTCAAACAAGAGGGTGTCCAAGGCGCTTAGGATGTGCCGGGCACACGTTGTTGCCTGAAGATTGTACATGAGGGTTTCTATTCGGCGGGCGGTGGGTGTATACCGGAACTCTTGAGTGTATTGGTGAGTGATGGTATGCGTTTATGTTAAGCGGTGTTTTAGAGTAAACTAGCCAAGACAAAACCTGCGTCATGCCATCTGAACTCCCATTTGCCCGAACCCTCAAGTACGAAGGGTTTAGGAGGGTTCGGTGGTTTCGGGGGGCTTGCGGGGGTAGGGTACAGGGTTTTTGGAGTTAGGGGTTTAGGTTCTTGATCGCAAAGAGCCTGGGTTCAAAAAAAAGGTTCCTGTTTGTACTAAACTAAGATTGAACATTAGCAGAAATGAAGTGAAACAACAAACATCCGCCGGACCCAAGAAACGAATCATAGACTTCGCGCGAAAATTCACAAAACAATGAGCAAGCAAAAACACATCATGTCATAGACTCCCACGAAACAAAGCACGGTGCCACACGAACGCGTTTACACCCCACGATGAGGATGTGCCTGCTGAAAGCAAGCATGCGAGTCGCAACACCCAAGGTTTGTCACCATCGAGCTACCGGATCTAGACTCCGATGCCGACTTTCTACAGCGCATCGTGAGACCCTCTGCTTGCATCCAGGGACAGGTTTAGGGTTTCAGGGTGCCGGTTTGGAGTTTTAAATATTTTGTTCACGGTTTCAGGGTTTGAAGGGTTCTCTGGCACTCCACGGTTTCGAGTTTGGGGACAGCTCGAGCTTTTGCCACAAGTCTGTGGGTTCTACTTCCACTTCCACTGCATCGAGCACTTCCCAGCACGATGCTTTAGTCTTAAGTTTGCATCTTTTCAGAAATGCTGCGCGAAGGGACCTAGTCTTGGGGAGCAGTTCAGGGCTTGTCTTGTCTGTTTCAGTCCTCCTTTGTACGAGGGCAAAGGCCATGTAAAGCGATGCCGGCGAATCCTTCGACTGCTTGTATGAAGGTTGAAGCTGACGTCTGCAATTGAGAGACTGACTGGAATTATTTACATAGTTCCGACCGGTGACCAGAACAGTGGCAAGGATTTCTTGTCATTATTCGCTTGTGGTCTTGATAGTGTGCTTTATGTTTTTAAGTTTAAGTCTCGCGCATGCACCGCGGCAACGAACAAAACATGATCTAGTTCTGTCGTCTCACAGAGACACTCTCGCAGACTTGCTTGCAGGAAACATCGCCTATTTCCAGGCGAACTACCTGATGATAGGCGGACGGGATGGCAAGGGCGAGCTAAGAGGCTTCCTGAGAGGTTGTTGTCTTAGTGATAAGAGCAGGCAACCTTTAACCCCCTGCATAATTTTAAAGGTTTCGGTTTTGTTCCGTTTGGGATAGTGAACAAGTAAGCTTCTTTGGGGCTCCGAAGCCGGAAGGGAAGCTGCCACGTCCCAGTCTCAAGTACCGGAGGTATCTCCGCATTACATGTAGAGTTTAGGGTTTAGGGTTTCGGGTTTACGATCCTGCATCAGTGGTAGGAGCTGTTCCATGAAGCACAGAAGTTTCTTGGATTTCGTGTACATAGTTCTGTCCACTGTCAGTTCAGGCTTTCAGCGTGCGACGTGGTGACAATGCTACCTAAACAAGCTGTGTAGATCACAACTATCTCCTACAAACATGATTGGGCAGTACGACTGAGCCATGCAGAAAACCGGAGAAGCTTTCCGGACACTCGTGAGGATCTGTGATGTTTGCCATCGCGGTCTACCGCCACACATCCTGGATGCTGGCGGTGGTGCTATTAGTATGCTTCTGGGTGCCTGGGCTCTGAAGTCCTAGGAGCAGACTTTGGTCCCATTTTTCCTGCAGACGCTGCGAGAGGCGCCCGACTCTTGACTCTGGGACCTGGACCTGTTCTGTTCGGCCTTTAGATGCACTCTATATTCTGTTATAGTATACTAGGGTATGCTAGTATATTATAGTCTTCATTGCGGGAAATTCATGTGCGTGGTCTCAGCATGTTTTGTTCTAAGTTTCTCAGCACATGCGCTTGAGCACAAAGTCGTGTGGCCTTGCAGCAAGATGCGAGCAAAGCGAGAGAAGTCCAAGACCAAGTTCATAGCCTAAGCTTCCGAGACCACACACAAGGCTAACGCTAATTAACACCTGCCGTGATGAGCCAACAGTTTCTCCGCTACAAGTTTGCATTCGTCGCCCAAGCCGTCGAAGCCCTTGCATTGCGAAGCCGGATGAAGATATCACGCAGCCAAGCTGCCGCTTCTTTTGAACAGCAATCAGCTCAGGCCGCTTACATTGCACGCGGGGGCTTCGACCCACAATGGAAACCTGCCTCCAGGCTGTTGCTAATCCATCTGGGACATAATACAGCTCAGTTAAAGGCTTTAGGTTTAGGCATTAGGCCACATAAAACAACCAATTCTTCAGAAACCTTTCCACACGTGCGAACACACTACCTACCTCGGCGTTTGATGTCTGCGTGAATAGTACCCACTTTAGGCCACATGTAATTGCGGTCATGAGAAACCTGAACTTAGGAAACCTTGGGCCCCTGATGCGAGGGCCACAGTCTTTGCCATTGTTTGCCTCACGATTGCTGAATCTTTTGATCGTAATAGCGTAATAGAGAAGTTACCTCTTCCCCCTCCTCCCACGCTACTCTACTCGCTCACGCTTCTTCCCTCTGTAGTACTTATCAAACCTATGAAACCATCAAGGAAACCTCAAGTCCCTTACCCTCAAGACTAAGCAGCCGAACTTCCACAACAATCGGGGTCCCCAGATTGAATGCTTCTTCTATAGCCTGGCAACACAGGAGTCGCGGCAGTCGTTGCCGCAAGGTTGTTAGCATAAGGATCACTGCGGCTCGATTCTAATTCTGGAATTGTCATTGGGAACCAAGAGTGGTACACTACAAGTTGTGCTATAAGTATTACGACTGCTTCCACGGAAAGGGTCCTCTTCCACGATTAGGTCAGTCTCCTGATTCAAGTCTGCTCATTTGCGTTATTGAACGTACTTTTGCCTCAGGCCGGTATGTTCATCATTCTGTTTTGTTAGACAGTAGTACTGCCTGAAGGATTCCCGTCCTTGCCAGTTACCTTTCCAGCAAGTTTGCAAATTTGACAAATATAAGTGCTTAGTAATTAGAATCAGCTAAACGGGAGATGTTCTAGTAGGTTTATATTTTAGGGCTGTATGAGCAAATATAAAGTCTAACTATTCAGACATCTATATGTTATGCCTTCTGGGCCTAATGCCTTCCTAATGCCAAAACGCACAGGAAGCAACCTTAAGATGTCCGGGTCATGTCCGCTGGGTTTATGATGTAAGTCAGCGGTTCAAGGTATGGGCCAGACCGTCACCGTGCAAGCTCGCCGCATACGAGCCTTCTTGAAACCACATATAGTAGGACAAAGGGTGACCTTGTTATTAGGGGGCCTAGTTCAAGACTAGCAGCGCCCTAACAAAAAGCAGAAACAATCAATAACTCCTAGACCCCCCAACTACCCTCTATATACCCTAAATACCTACTTTTCAAGCTCTATTAAAGGGCACTTGTAGATCCTGGCTGTTCAAGTCATGAAGCCCAAAAAACTTCGGACCGAGGTTGTGCTTGGCACTGAGATCACAGCATCGCATCGGCTTGCGCTTTTGTACGCTGGCATCTTGACAGTGAATAGGCCCCCCCTTTGAAATTTCGGCTAAGGGTTTAGTAGGCGGTTCTCCATACCCCTACTGAAGATATTCATTCGTGATAGCCTGCTTGTCTCGGCCCCCTGACCTACAGAGGCAGCAGTTCTTAACGAAGAATTGCCTGCCCTCTTGGCAAGTTCTTCAGCAGCTGGTTGGGGGTAAAAGCTGCTTTTTGTTGGATTGCTCCGTCGATTTGGGGCTCTCTGCAAGCAATGAAGGCCCAAACCCCCAAGGAAGCCTTCGAACCTTGGAGCTGCTACGAGTCAGCCCGTGGAGCCCCATCCTCAAGCCGAAGGGCTATTCTAGGAACAGAGGAGAAGCTCAAGATTCGGAGATGATCCCCAGACAAAAGACCAAGAACCCTAAACCCTAAGACCAAGAACCCTGCACCCTAAACCCTAAGACCAAGAATCCTGCTAGATGTTGGTACTTGCCTGGCAAGCCACGGGTGAAAAAAAGCGCAGCTGCTGAGGGCCGTCTTACATAAAGGATAGGCGCCAGAGCGCGGTGCGTCTTGTTTGGGGCCCCCCTTGCACAGACCCCGAGCTTCTTATATATAATGTCTTAGGGTTCCTTAGTATGACCATAGTAGATTATACACCAAAACCCCATAATCAACCCCGCTATAGTGTGGAAGCTCCACACCTCGCTGTAGGATCCACAAAGATGCACGACAAGGTACGGGTTGTGCAGTGCACCCTCTTCTGAAAAGAGTCTTTTACTTTTCCTACCTGTGGCACAAGTTCAACTTAGTCTGCCATGTTGGTAGACAAGTTCCCTGGACAAAAATAGAGAGAAGTCTTACAAAACAACGCCGTTCCAGGCCCTGGCCCTAGTCCAGACAACCTGTGCGCATGGAAAAGTCCACGACAGACTCCTGCGCGACGTCAGGTTCCTTAACGCTGATTTTTGTCGTCTTCGGCCAAGCCTTGTTGGTGCTTCTGGGCATTCTTGGCACACTTACAGCAAGCCATGACCCCCGGCAGCAAATCCCACGACGCGTGCCTACTACTCTTAGTCTTGCTGTTCCTGGTGTACTCGCGTCTCCGATTTCCATGGATCCTTATCGATCCTCGTCCTTAACCTGCGTGGGTTTGCCTGTGTAGCTTTTGACTCTCCCTCTGTTCCAACTTGCTTGTTGTCCATGATTCTGAAAGGTTTCACTTGCAGCACCCTACCAAAAAATTGTGGGATTGTGTATGCAACATGTCAGTTCATTATGCAGGATACTGCCTAGTGAGGGTCTTCTACATTCCGAAGTCGCCGGTAGTTGCCCGTTTTCAGGGAGTCCCGAAAATAGAGGACCTACGGTCTCCGGAACACACGCAGTACGTTCCTCTCCCACTTTAAGCATAAGCAAGCCTCTACCCATGGGCTGCTGTTAAGGAACTTGAGCGACCATGATGCCATTAGAGGGATCTGTAGTACAACAGTAACAACAACAAAAATGATAATAGTTCGTACCTGTACAAATAAGAAGATGTCCTTGTTATGGTAGCTTGAATTAATTTCCTTAGCAAGAGCCAGACAGATAAAGCTGCCAGTCATCAGAGTCTGAATCAGAGATTCCAGACTGTTGGAACGTCCACCGACCTCGCACTTAGGCCGTCGCGAGCCCCATTCTAAAGGCAGCTTCAAGGTTTTGTCAGGAGTAGGTAGAAGAGTCGGCAGTCAGGGTTACGAGGGTTCAGGGTTAAGATTTAGATCATATTAAGTGTCTATGATGCAGCCATCACTTTCGTCGAGCAGTAAGTATCGCAGCCTGCGGCACCTGACGTTTGACCACGAATGACTCCTTGGGCCACTAGCACCCAGCCTGGTGCTGTTGCTGTTGTTGT